ATATCTTCGCCTTCGATCCAGGTACATTTGATTTCAGGAAAAAAAAAGCTTTCAGTTGGTCACATTTTACGCATGCTTGTTGAAGGGTAGCGGGTCTGTTCTTGTTCGCTGTCCAAAACGAGGTTTCGGGAGTAATATACAATGTGGTATTTGACTATGGTTTTCTGCAGCGGTTCTAAGTGTAAAGAAGGAAAAACTCGAGGGCGTTGGTGGCACACTGCTACAGTGGTGGCACACGAAGTCCGGTCCAAATAGAACGTAATTGGGCTTTCATTCGTGCTTTCTTAGGCTAGTCTATGTCAAGAGGGGTGTCACGTTGTTTTGTGTTCGCGAAGCGAGAATTTTTTCAATTTTGAAACTATAGCACGTACTCTGCACTCTGGGACGGGGGTGGGAGGGAGGTTAATGCCGGTTGTAGGATGTTCTGGGGAATTTAGAAGTGGTGTTATCGTGTAGTATGGAACACGCGTGTTCGCCGGTGATAGCAGCAGAGACGTGACACCCCTGTAACGTAGACTAGCCTGAACAAGCATGACTGAAAGGTCAACCAGTGTGTAAATGTGACTGACATGGTTAAAAAAAAGCACCCTGGGGTATATAGTAATATATTCGGCGTGTTAGCCGAGGATGCTTTTAAGGGTGGGTGTTGGTGCTTTACTTAAAAAATCGTCACGTTCAACCAGCATCCCCGAAGGTGGAGCTTTAGGTTATAATTGTGACTAGGTTATGTGCGCCATATAAAATGGCTCAGCACTGCGCGCCACCAAGAGATCTGAAAAGGACAGCTGCATCGTCGATGCGATTCAAGGAGACAGACCCAAATACTGTCCTAGTCGGCGACGAAGTCGTCTACCAGCGAGGCCAATAAACGACCCGGTCGCTGATGATGATTTCAGGGGTTAGGGTTATATATAATATTCTCGCATATCTGTTATGTGAGACTCCCTCAATATGGTGGCGAGCCACCTTATTTAATGCTGTATATGGTAAAGTATTTTGGGGAGGGCTCCCCCAAGATGACAGGCGTCCCCTCTGTACCACTCCATTAAGATCGTGGCTCCCCCAAGATGACAGGCGTCCCCTCTGCACCACTCCCCCAAGATGACAGGCGTCCCTTCTGCACCACTCCCCCAAGATGACAGGCGTCCCCTCTGCACCACTCCATCAAGATCGGGGCTCCCCCAAGATGACAGGCGTCCCCTCTGCACCACTCCATCAAGATCGGGGCTCCCCCAAAATGACAGGCGTCCCTTCTGCACCACTCCCCCAAGATGACAGGCGTCCCCTCTGCACCACTCCCCCAAGATGACAGGCGTCCCTTCTGCACCACTCCCCCAAGATGACAGGCGTCCATTCTGCACCACTCCATCAAGATCGTGCCCCCCCCCCCAAGATGACAGGCGTCCCCTCTGCACCACTCCTCCAAGATCGGGTCTCCCCCAAGGTGACAGGCGTCCCTTCTGCACCACTCCCCCAAGATCGGGTCTCCCCCAAGGTGACAGGCGTCCCTTCTGCGCCACTCCCCCAAGATTGGGTCTCCCCCAAGATGACAGGCGTCCCCTCTGCACCACTCCCCCAAGATGACAGGCGTCCCTTCTGCACCACTACTCCAAGATCGGGTCTCCCCCAAGATGACAGGCGTCCCCTCTGCACCACTCCATCAAGATGGTGGCTCCCCCCAAGATGACAGGCGTCCCCGCTGCACCACTCCATCAAGATCGTGGCTCCCCCAAGATGACAGGCGTCCCCTCTGCACCACTCCCTCAAGATGACAGGCGTCCCTTCTGCACCACTCCCCAAGATGACAGGCGTCCCCTCTGCACCACTCTATCAAGATCGTGCCCCCTCCCCCACTCCAAGATGACAGGCGTCCCCTCTGCACCACTCCATCAAGATCGTGCACCCCTAAGATGACAGGCGTCCCCTCTGCACCACTCCATCAAGATCGTGCACCCCTAAGATGACAGGCGTCCCCTCTGCACCACTCCATCAAGATCGGGGCTCCCCCAAGATGACAGGCGTCCCTTCTGCACCACTCCTCCAAGATCGGGTCTACCCCAAGATGACAGGCGTCCCTTCTGGACCACTCCATCAGATCGTGCCCCCCCCCCCCCCCCCCCCAAGATAACAGGCGTCCCTTCTGCACCACTCCTCAAAGATCGTGGCTCCCCCAGGATGACAGGCGTCCCTTTTGCACCACTCCCCCAAGATGACATGCGTCCCTTCTGCCCCCCTCCCCCAAGATAACAGGCGTCCCTTCTGCACCACTCCATCAAGATCGGGTCTCCCCAAAGATGACAGGCGTCCCTTCTGCACCCCTCCTCCAAGATCGTGGCTCCCCCAGGATGACAGGCGTCCCCTCTGCACCACTCCCCTAAGATGACAGGCGTCCCTTCTGCCCCCCTCCCCCAAGATGACAGGCATCCCTTCTGCACCACTCCATCAAGATCGGGTCACCCCAAAGATGACAGGCGTCCATTCTGCACCCTTCCTCCAAGATCGTGGCTCCCCCAGGATGACAGGCGTCCCCTCTGCACCACTCCCCCAAGATGACAGGCGTCCCTTCTGCTCCCCTCCCCAAAGATGACAGGCGTCCCTTCTGCACCCCTCCTCAAAGATCGTGGCTCCCCCAGGATGACAGGCGTCCCCTCTGCACCACTCCATGGAGACATTGATTAGCAGCCTTTTCATTAATATGGTTAAGCACCAGATACTCATTTCTTCTTCTCTTGCGGCGTCAGGGCTGGAAGTACTCGAGGTATATGACAGCATCCGGATATATGATGATTACGTCTGAATATATATGATTACTTTTGGATAAATTATTATGTTTGGGTCTACAGTGTATATTTATGATTACATCTGGATAGATCATTTTATCCAGACAGATTGTGACATTTGTGTGTAGATTTTCCTCTGGATATATCTTCTTCTTCTGCTTCTTCGATCCTTCTGTCAGAAAACTTATACCAGGAACCCGGTAGCCTTTATGAAAGCTATCGTGCAGTCCACATCCTCTCGTGTACCATAAATCTTTGTCTTCATTGTGGTTGGAACAGGCCAGATTGCGTCTCTGTTGTCAGCATACAGTTGACAGTGTTGGAGCACATACTCAGCATTTTCGGGTGCCACGCTTCAGGGACACGTCTCCGTATTTCCTACACCGAAAAATTTGAACATATGTTGAGGAAATCTGTTGTGCCCTGTCCTTAGTCTGAATATAATGCACTGTTCCTCTCTAGAGAGGCGATGAAGTGAGTCTTTGGGAGAAAATCTGGTGTGGGTCGCGTCAAGTCTACAAACTTAGTGTCTTTTGGGTTAACAATTGCTCGTAGAACTGATATAGCATCCGTCAGAAAGACCACTGCGCTATATTTACTGTGCTGTTGTCCATTCAGGAAAGAACATGTCGCTAGAAGTGCTTCTGCCTTTGCTCTGTAATTGGAGGAATATGAAATGATAACATGTGGATATATGATTGAATCTGAATAATTAGTTGATTTTAGATTTATGATTACATTTGGATATATGACTGCATCTGGATAAGTGATTAAGTCTGGATATATGATTATATTTGGAAAAATGATTGTGTCTGAATATATGATTACATCTGTATAAATGTCTTCTTCTTCTTTTTCTTGTTCTTGTTCTTCCTCTTCTTCTTCTGCTGCTGCTGCTTCTTCTTTTTCTTCTTCTTCTGCTTCTTCTTCTTTTTCTTCTGTTGCTGCTTCTTCTTCTTCTTTGTCTTCATCTTCTTATTCTTATTCTTCCTCTTCCTCTTCTTCTTCTTCCTCCTCTTCTATTTCTTCTTCTTCTCCTTCTTTTTTTTCTACTTCATTGTCATGTGCCCTGACTCTTACAGGGCTGTCTGTTAGATGGGGTCATGGTTGACTTCTTGGCTGGGATATCTGTGCCTGTCAGCCCTAGACATTATCTGTTGCAAACGTTGAATCAGTCACCTTCTGTGACATTGGTTTTGACAGGCAGTGACTCTGTTTCCTTTGTTTTCCAGGGCTGTGGGCACACAGAGAGTTAGTTGACCCTGATCCATCTTGTAATGTCAAAATAAATGTTATATTTGCTTGTACATTATCTTGCAGTTTCATAACTGAATGTTGTGTTTATTCAAAACACTGTTTTTCTGTTGTCTTCTACTTCTTAGTGTTCACTAGCTGTCAAATCCTGCAGAAGGTTCAGGTTGTTCATCCACTTCTGGACTGTGGTCTTGTTCCAGGAGTTGAGTTTTGGGTGTACAATATTTTACAGATGTGGCTTAATTATATGCAGACTGTTGGTCCTTGCCTGTCAAGCAGATACACTCCAGTTTTGAAAGAAACATCCTTTATTAATCACTTCCTACGACATGCTTTTTAGGAAAGGTAGTTAGCGTATTCTTTTTCCCCTGAAATAGGGCTTCTGAACCCACGGAAGGAATTTTCCTATTGTAAATTTTAAAATATGCAGACACAATACATTGCACAGTTTATTGCCTGGGATACTTTGTGTATCTTGTCTTCACAAGTCTTCTTCTTCTTCTTCTTTGTTCACCAGCGGAAAGCTTCGCTGGAAAGTCTTGTTTATTTGGACTTTGGCTTTGTTGCAGGGCTTGAGTTTTGCGAGTAATTCCTCCATTCTACTGGCTTATTTCTGTTTACTTGGCTGCTCAGGTAGATAAGATGCACTCCATCTTCAAAGGAAGCTCCCACTTAGTCGACTCTTACGATATGTTTTTTGGGGAGGCAGCGGGTCTATTCTTGTTTTCCCCCACACTGGGGCCCCGGAACCCACATTGGCAACTTCAAAAGTAAGAACGTTTAATTTAATATAAATACGTGTGGTAATTTATGTATTGCCATGGTAATAACATGACTGATCCTAATTTTCTGATGGTCAGATTTACGGCCCGACTAGAGAAAATTTGATTAGTGTAATTCACTGAAAAGGATGAATGTTTCTGTCTGTTTATGTTATATGTTGATGCAAGTCTGTGTTTATTTCAGATTGAGGAACTTGGTCGTGTCTTGTGTAACGTATGCAATGTGGTGCCTGGTGGAATTGTCTGCTTCTTCCCCTCATATGACTATGAGAAAGCTGTGCACTCGGCCTGGGAGAAGAGTGGTACAATTCAAAAGATACAGCTCAAAAAGAGAGTAGGTACTTGTGTTTGATTTCTTATCCTTTTCCACTACTAGGGGGTCTCTGTGACTTGGGATCTTCATGGCTGGTGTCTTCGTGGCTGATGTCTTTATGGCTGATGTCTTCATGGCTGTGGTCTCTGTGGCTTGGGATCTTCATGGCTGGGGTCTTCATGGCTGTGGTCTCTGTGGCTTGGGATCTTCATGGCTGGGTTCTTCATGGCTGTGGTCTCTGTGGCTTGGGATCTTCATGGCTGGGGTCTTCATGGCTGTGGTCTCTGTGGCTTGGGATCTTCATGGCTGGGGTCTTCTTGGCTGTGGTCTCTGTGGCTTGGTATCTTCATGGCTGGGGTCTTCTTGGCTGTCGTCTCTGTGGCTTGGGATCTTCATGGCTGGGGTCTTCTTGGCTGTCTGTATGGCTTGGTATCTTCATGGCTGGGGTCTTCGTTGCTTGGGATCTTCATGGCTGGGGTTTCTGTGGCTTAGGATCATCGTGGCTGGGGTCTCATTGGCTTTATATTTTCGTGGCTGGGGTAGTCTCATTGACATGTGGTCTCAGTGGTCCCATTAAAGCTTCCATTGACTCCCATGCATTTCCTAGAGCTGTAAATGCTCCCATTGACTCCCATATATTTCCTAGAGCTGTAAATGCTCCCATTGACTCCCATACATTTCCTAGAGCTGTAAATGCTCCCATTGACTCCCATACATTTCCTAGAGCTATAAAAGCTTCCATTAACTCCCATACATTTCCTAGAGCTGTAAATGCTCCCATTGACTCCCATACATTTCCTAGAGCTGTAAATGCTCCCATTGACTCCCATACATTTCCTAGAGCTATAAATATAAAAGCTTCCATTAACTCCCATGCATTTCCTAGTGCTATAAAACCCCCCCATTGACTCCCATACATTTCCTAGAGCTATAAAAGCTTCCATTAACTCCAATGCTTTTCCTAGTACTGTAAAAGCTTCCATTGACTTCTATACATTTTCTATTGCTATGAAAGCTTCCATTGACTCCCATATATTTCCTATAGCTATAAATATAAAAGCTTCCATTAACTCCCATACATTTCCTAGAGCTGTAAATGCTTCCATTGACTCCAATGCTTTTCCTAGTACTGTAAAAGCTTCCATTGACTTCTATACATTTTCTATTGCTATGAAAGCTTCCATTGACTCCCATATATTTCCTAGAGCTATAAAACCCCCATTGACTCCCATACATTTCCTAGAACTATAAAAGCTTCCATTGACTCCCGCATATTTCCAAGTGCTATAAAACTCCCATTGACTCCCATACATTTCCTAGAGCTATAAAAGCTTCCATTAACTCCAATGATTTTCCTAGTACTGTAAAAGCTTCCATTGACTTCTATACATTTTCTATTGCTATGAAAGCTTCCATTGACTCCCATATATTTCCTAGAGCTATAAATATAAAAGCTTCCATTAACTACTCTACATTTCCTAGAGCTGTAAATGCTTCCATTGACTCCAATGCTTTTCCTAGTACTGTAAAAGCTTCCATTGACTTCTATACATTTTCTATTGCTATGAAAGCTTCCATTGACTCCCATATATTTCCTAGTGCTATAAAACCCCCATTGACTCCCATACATTTCCTAGAGCTAAAAAAGCTTCCACTAACTCCCATACATTTCCTAGAGCTATAAATGCTTCCATTGACTCCCATATATTTCCTAGTGCTATAAAACCCCCATTGACTCCCATACATTTCCTAGAACTAAAAAAGCTTCCACTAACTCCCATACATTTCCTAGAGCTATAAATGCTTCCATTGACTCCAATGCTTTTCCTAGTACTGTAAAAGCTTCCATTGACTCCGATATAATTCCTTGTGCAATAAAAGCTCTTGTTCATAGCATACAGTCCCTACTCCTATAAAAGTTCATGTTGACTTTCACAGATTTCCTTGTGCTATAAAAGTTCATGTTGACTTTCACAGATTTCCTTGTGCTATAAAAGCTCTCTTCTTAAGTTCCACACATTCCTTAGTGCTATAAAAGCTTCCATTAACTCGCATACATTTCCTAGTGCTATAAAAGCTCCTTTTGTTTTCCACTAACTTCCACATCATCCACCGAGTACCAGTTGGCCTACAAAATATATATCTAGCCCTGTATGCCCAGTACGCTGAAGGAATGGAAAAAGTCCTTTGCTTATATATATATATGTGTGTGTGTGCGTGCGTGCGTGTGTTTATATATATATATATATATATATATATATATATCACATATATATATATATATATATATATATATATATATATATATATATATATAATATTATATATATATATATATATATATATATATATATATATATATATATATATATATATATATATATGTATATATATATATATATATATATATATATATATATATATATATATATATATATATATATATATATATATATATATATTAATATATATATATATATATATATATATATATATTATATATATATATATATACATATAAGCTTTTTGTTGATTTCCACAGATTTTCCATTGCTATAAGACTCATCTCACCTCTGTATTCTTATTTGTTAACAGACTGTGCTAACTATTCATTATGTTTACAGGTGTTTCGAGAACCAAAGAGGAGTGGATTGGCAGAGAATGTGTTAGCAGAGTACACTACCTGTATACAAGTAAGCATGCATTTATCTGGTAAACTATATTGTTTTGCATGTTTTTGTTGTTGTTGTTTAAAAGAAAATTAGTAACCACGGAAATGAGATGTCTGAGAAGGGCTGTAGGAGTGACCATAAGAGATAAAATCAGGAATGAGATCATAAGAGAACAAGTCGGCACAGAACCAATTCTGGATTACATACAAAGACAGCAAGTGAAATGGTTTGACCACTTAGAGAGAATGCCTTGTGACACCATACCATACAAAGCATACATGGAAAGAGAAGAAGGACGTAGAGCACGGGGTAGACCAAGAACAAGATGGAAGGATAACATCAGAGAAACTCTACAACAGCACGATGTGCCTATGGTCGAGGCAGCCAGAAGAGTTAGAAACAGAACCTTATATCTCCCTCGACACCCACAGCGGTAAAAGAGGAAGTGAAGAAGAAGAAGAAGAAGTTGTTGTTGTTGTAATGTTTCAGTAATGTCTTTTATGCTCAATTTCAGTCACGATTTTTATGTTGGGTTTTCCACTTATGTTTTTGAATAATTTTCTTAACAAATGTTTTTATGCTATATTTCAGTAAAATAAAAAAATAAAAAATTTGTTTAATATTATGTTACAGTGCTTTTAATGTTATGTTACAGTGCTTTTTATGTTATGTTACAGTGCTTTTTATGTTATGTTACAGTGCTTTTTATGTTAGGTTTCACTAATGTTTTTTAAATGGGAAGGGTCAGAACCTGTGGGAATTTCTAAAGAAATCCTTTAAATAGACAATAATTTTACACAGGTCACTAAACAATGAGTATGTGCGTGAGTGTGTGTGTGAGAGAGAGAAAACCAAGTGATGGCTTTGAATCTGCTATGATGGCCAGACAAACAAGAGCACAATGCAGAAGCAACACACACACACAAATCAGCACAGAACTGGTGTCGTCAGCCACTACACGCTGTGGGATATACCTATAAGGGGCTGTGAGATATACCTATGAGGGGCTGTGGGATATACCTATGAGGGGCTGTGGGATACACCTATGAGGGGCTGTGGGATATACCTATGAGGGGCTGTGAGATATACCTATGAGGGGCTGTGAGATACACCTATGAGGGGCTGTGAGATATACCTATGAGGGGCTGTGAGATATACCTATGAGGGGCTGTGAGATATACCTATGAGGGGCTGTGAGATATACCTATGAGGGGCTGTGAGATACACCTATGAGGGGCTGTGAGATACACCTATGAGGGGCTGTGAGATATACCTATGAGGGGCTGTGAGATACACCTATGAGGGGCTGTGAGATATACCTATGAGGGGCTGTGAGATATACCTATGAGGGGCTGTGAGATACACCTATGAGGGGCTGTGAGATATACCTATGAGGGGCTGTGAGATATACCTATGAGGGGCTGTGAGATACACCTATGAGGGGCTGTGAGATACACCTATGAGGGGCTGTGAGATATACCTATGAGGGGCTGTGAGATACACCTATGAGGGGCTGTGAGATATACCTATGAGGGGCTGTGGGATACACCTATGAGGGGCTGTGGGATATACCTATGAGGGGCTGTGAGATATACCTATGAGGGGCTGTGGGATATACCTATGAGGGGCTGTGGGATATACCTATGAGGGGCTGTGGGATATACCTATGAGGGGCTGTGGGACATACCTATGAGGGGCTGTGGGATATACCTATGAGGGGCTGTGGGATATACCTATGAGGGGCTGTGGGACATACCTATGAGGGGCTGTGAGATATACCTATGAGGGGCTGTGGGATATACCTATGAGGGGCTGTGGGATATACCTATGAGGGGCTGTGGGATATACCTATGAGGGGCTGTGGGATATACCTATGATGGGTTGTGAGATACACCTATGAGGGGCTGTGAGATATACCTATGAGGGGCTGTGGGATATACCTATGAGGGGCTGTGGGATACACCTATGAGGGGCTGTGAGATATACCTATGAGGGGCTGTGGGATATACCTATGAGGGGCTGTGGGATATACCTATGAGGGGCTGTGGGATATACCTATGAGGGGCTGTGGGATATACCTATGAGGGGCTGTGGGATATACCTATGAGGGGCTGTGGGACATACCTATGAGGGGCTGTGAGATATACCTATGAGGGGCTGTGGGATATACCTATGAGGGGCTGTGGGATATACCTATGAGGGGCTGTGGGATATACCTATGAGGGGCTGTGGGATACACCTATGAGGGGCTGTGGGATACACCTATGAGGGGCTGTGAGATATACCTATGAGGGGCTGTGAGATATACCTATGAGGGGCTGTGGGATACACCTATGAGGGGCTGTGAGATATACCTATGAGGGGCTGTGGGATACACCTATGAGGGGCTGTGGGATACACCTATGAGGGGCTGTGAGATATACCTATGAGGGGCTGTGAGATATACCTATGAGGGGCTGTGAGATATACCTATGAGGGGCTGTGGGATATACCTATGAGGGGCTGTGAGATATACCTATGAGGGGCTGTGAGATACACCTATGAGGGGCTGTGAGATACACCTATGAGGGGCTGTGGGATACACCTATGAGGGGCTGTGAGATATACCTATGAGGGGCTGTGGGATATACCTATGAGGGGCTGTGGGATATACCTATGAGGGGCTGTGGGATATACCTATGAGGGGCTGTGGGATATACCTATGAGGGGCTGTGGGATATACCTATGAGGGGCTGTGGGACATACCTATGAGGGGCTGTGAGATATACCTATGAGGGCTGTGGGATATACCTATGAGGGGGCTGTGGGATATACCTATGAGGGGCTGTGGGATATACCTATGAGGGGCTGTGGGATACACCTATGAGGGGCTGTGGGATACACCTATGAGGGGCTGTGAGATATACCTATGAGGGGCTGTGAGATATACCTATGAGGGGCTGTGGGATACACCTATGAGGGGCTGTGAGATATACCTATGAGGGGCTGTGGGATACACCTATGAGGGGCTGTGGGATACACCTATGAGGGGCTGTGAGATATACCTATGAGGGGCTGTGAGATATACCTATGAGGGGCTGTGAGATATACCTATGAGGGGCTGTGGGATATACCTATGAGGGGCTGTGAGATATACCTATGAGGGGCTGTGAGATACACCTATGAGGGGCTGTGGGATATACCTATGAGTGGATCAGAGCACTTATGGGACTGAATAGTTCAATGTGCAGTGAGGGTAATCTGTCAACTAACTAATTAACATTTTAATTTTCCTTAAGATATATACAGAGTGAAGTATCGAATGAAATATATATTCCTTGTCACCTAATACACACAGACTCTCTCTTTCTCTCTCTCACGCTCTCACATGCACACTCTGTCACACACATCTGTTGGGTGACTCAATACGTAACCCCTAACATCAAAGCTAACAGACATTTTAACATTGGTTTTTAATAAGCCATCTGGTTCATTAAAAAAACCCACCTGTCACATATCACTCCTGTCGCGTGCCTGATTTAAGGATTTCTCCTTAAGAACCAACAGCACTCAGAAATAATTATGTTGAGTCGTTGGCTCGTATTGGTCTAAGAGATGCCCCGTGGCCAATATACGCTCAACTTATTTCTGGAGTAGGGCAACTCAAGTTTTGGCACTACAAAATATATAATATTCCTAGGCACACTTGCCTGGACACCCCCACTACTATAAAAAGATAGCTCCCAGGTTATGATAGTCTACTATCATAACCATGTTAACACATATAACACTTGTTACTAACACACATCAATGCTAAACAGTTAGAAAGGTGAAACAGGGACACCTAAGTCATCCATGAAAATGAATGTATGTAATAAGTATAAAATATATACACATGTATTACAGAATAGATTCTTAAGAATGTTCATAGACTCGGGACTCAGTGACACGACCCAGACATTGAAGCAGCCAGATTGCCTTGAGATGGACCTGATTTCATCACGGGAACTGTGAGGAGCTGTGGGAAAAGAGCATGATGATGATAAAACTATCACTTACCCCAGTTCGTAGGTCGATGCTCCCCTCAGTCCATGGTGATTCGACTGTAGTTGACTCAGGTATCTCTGCCTCTAGTTGATCTGGTACCAGTGGATTACCTCACCATCGAGGACACAGAAACTGCATAGGGACTCAACACGTCTCTCTCACAGGTCAGGTCACAAAACTGTCTCAGAGCCCAACCAAGCTCCTGAAGACTGGTTCTCGAGATGGAGTACACAAATGTTTATAACTGTTCACTTGTCCTGGAGCTCACAAACTCGCTCTTGCCATGTTGAGGTGCTGGCATACAGGGCAGGACATGGTTATGCTTGGTGCATAGAATGGTATGGGTTGGTGGTTGTTGGCTGGACTGTGATTCGTCTGCCTGATCTCTACAGAGGTCTCATCCTGTCAGGAAAGAACTCAGAATTAGTAATCACCAAGAGGGTATCATCTTGACAGGAAAGAACTCAGAATTAGTAATCAGTTTTCATCACACATCAGCTCACTCCACCTCTGCTCCTCTTCTACATTCCTCAGAGTGTACTCTCAAGACCAGGGGACAATGTCTCCTTTCATTTATCTGTCTGTAACTAGTGCAACAGATGGAAAGTCAGATATATATAGTGGAGATAGATAAACACTATCACACATAGATCACTCTCTTCCCCCCTCACATCTGCATACAGACACCAATGTTTACAGTCAGTACCCATATATCTTCCGTCTCCTCAGGCCATTCACTACACACCCATTGATCTGTGTCAAACACGCTCGAAGCAACGCGCTAGCTGCGGATTAAACTGACCTACATTCTCTGTCCCAGTTAATACTGCACAAACTTTTGTTGCCTGGTCAGAGGATAAATACTTGTAGAGTTCAATATCTTTACCAATGGTGTGGGGTATGTAGAGCCCAACTAATTAGTCAGTACAGGGGAAGGTCTAAGGTTCAGATCCGGTTCTCTGGACATCAAGAACGGTCGAACTCTGTGCGATCACATAGCCGATACCGCTCTATCTACAGCAGTTACCCTTTTAAAAAAGACATAATTTATGGTACTCGTAAACTATAATTAACCTACCCAAGCTTAGGAAATGTCCTAGACACTACAGGCCGCCTCCTCAAAGTATAAATTTACGAGGCCCCATTGAACACATCTGTTCTCTAGGCAGTCAGGCAGAAAAATGCCTGCTTCAAACTACGCTTGGCGTTACTAGAAAAGAAGTTCCCTTGTATACATGAGCAAGGAGTAAACCGGTTTCCAGGAATTTTCAAATAAAACACCAGAAATACCTAATCTACCGTTGCAAGTTTGAAAATGAAGATATATCAAAGCAACTAGAGGGTTCAGAAATTACTATTTTACCAGATAAAGGTATAGATCAATATAAGGGACTATATACCTTTCCGGACAGGTCTAAGTTTGAAATTTTGCTGAGCGCAAGGGATATCAGGTCCCGACTCGTCCAATGTGTGTGGTGGCCGTTCATTTCATGACACCACCTAAATGCTTTTTTTTTTTTTTTTTTTTTTTTAAGTAAATATATTAATATCAGGGCTTTATGAACACGGCAGATGCAGACAGAAACAACAGATTTAACTACACTTTTTGAGAACCAGTCCGATGCATTAGCATTTACGGGGACTGTTTCACAGTCAGAAGTAACTCCATTCCCAGTATTAGATTCTCCCTCAGTTTGAGGGAGGAGGCTGGAGCACCTATGGATGAATCCATGTGTGGTCTGTGGGAGACTTATGAATGAATCCATGTGTGGTCTGTGGGAGACCTATGGATCAATCCATGTGTGGTCTGTGGGAGACCTATGAATGAATCCATGTGTGGTCTGTGGGAGACCTATGGAAGAATCCATGTAGGGTCTGTGGGAGACCTATGAATGAATCCATGTAGGATCTGTGGGAGACCTATGGAAGAATCCATGTAGGGTCTGTGGGAGACCTATGGAAGAATGCATGTAGGGTCTGTGGGAGACCTATGAAAGAATCCATGTAGGATCTGTGGGAGACCTATGAATGAATCCATGTGTGGTCTGTGGGAGACCTATGGAAGAATCCATGTAGGGTCTGTGGAAGACCTATGGAAGAATCTGTGTAGGATCTGTGGGAGACCTATGGAAGAATCCATGTAGGATCTGTGGGAGACCTATGGAAGAATCCATGTAGGATCTGTGGGAGACCTATGGAAGAATCCATGTAGGATCTGTGGGAGACCTATGAAAGAATCCATGTAGGATCTGTGTTAGACCTATGGAAGAATCCATGTAAGATCTGTGGGAGACCTATGAAAGAATCCATGTAGGATCTGTGTTAGACCTATGGAAGAATCTGATCTTTGAGAGACCTGTGGAAGAATCCATGTCTGGTATGTGAGAGAAACTAGAGCACTTTAAAGGTATTCATGTGAGATCTGTGGAAGAAAAAACGGAGCTGGTTTATGAAAGATAAAATGGAGCACTATGGTTAGCTCCATATCTGGTTTATGGAGAAAACTAGCGCCTTGGAAGTATCCCTGTGAGATCTGTGGGAGGAAAAAAATGTAGCACTGTGGAAGAATCAATGTCTGGTTTGTGGTAGAAAAACTGGAGCTCTATAGGAGTTTCTCATGTCTGGTTTGTAAAAGAAACACTCCATGGATCACTATGAGAGTATCCATGTCTGGTTTGTGGGAGAAAGACTGAAGCACTATTGGAGTATGCATGTCCTGTTTATGGGAGAAAGACTGGAGCACTATACGATTATCCATGTCTGGTTTGTCGGGGGAAAGACTGAAGCACTATGGGAGTATCTATGTCCTGTTTGTGGGAAAAAGACTGGAGCACTATGTCTGGTTTGTGGAAAAAATGGTGAAACTATGGGGGTGACTGCAGTCAAGCTAATAAATGAAATGTCCATGGTTGAGCTTGACCAATTTATTACTTACATCAACAATTTCAATCCGGCTATCAAATTCACCTCACTGATCTCCACCACTTCAGTTAACTTTCTTGACATCACGATTAGCATCGATTCCCCGTGTCTGAAAACCACAGCCTACTACAAACCACGGATTCTCACAGTTATATCTCCTCTATACGTCTTCTCACCCACTACCGTGTAAAAATTCTATTCCATATTCACAGCTCCTTCGATTGCGCAGGTTGTGCTCTGACGATTCTGACTTCTTTGATAAATATCAGTGAACTTCTTGAATTCTTCCGTGCCCGTTTCTATCCGGAACACATTCTACAAGGGGCTCTAAACAAAGTTTTAGCAATCACCAGAAGAGAGATGCTTTTCCTACCAACCGTAACTCCACCAATGAGGGACCTAAATTGATCTTGACTTTTCACCCCTAACAATGTGGTTTGCTTCCAAAGTATTCTTTCGTCATTTGGACATCCTCCGCTCTGATCCGGACACCAGAGATTATCTTTAGTGAGAAAACCTAGATTAGTTTACAGACGAGATCGCAACCTTAAAGACATACTTGTCCGAAGCCGACTCTCCACCGATCCATACAGCACTTCCTCTTGGGACTACTTAGTGCTCACGCAGCACCTGCAAAACATGTCCTTTCGTTGTCCAGGACTTCTTCGGGTCAGTTTCCCCTAATGGTTCTTTTTACAAATTAGGGAACCTTTTTACTTGCGAATCCCGCAACGTAAATTTATGCAATTATCTGCAAACGATGCAGCATGGCATACATTGGGGAAGACTGGCAGGACAGCTAGCTGATCGTTTCCGGGAACACCTCTCTGATATCGACAAGAAGACCACTCAAACCAATCCCTCTTCATTTTAATAGCCCTGACCACAGCGGTAAAGATGACATATCTGTCACAGCCTTAAAATCTTGCTCTGGCGATCATACTACCCGCCTCGCTTTGGAAAATCGCCTTATCCACAGCCTTGGCGTTCTTAGTCCAAGAGGTATCAATATCCAACATACCTTCATCTAAAATAGTTCTAATCTTATTACATTTTAAATGTTAATTATTTTATTTTATTTCATATTATTACCATATTCTATTTCTTTATCAATATCATTTATGTATCATTAACACTTGCATTTCTTTTATTCCCAGTATTGTGACTATATTTTTTTAGCCATCGTTTATTTTATTTTATTTCATTTATTCCGCATCACATTTTTTAAAACGTCGCTCACGTCACCCCTTATAGATCTACATACTCTCCATTCCTCGTTGTTGTGTAGTCCACTTGTGTTTGAAAAAGGCTGCCTGGCCGAAACGTTACGTTGTGTTGTTTTGTGCACGTTTTCCTCTTTCCCATTTTGTTGAGCTTTTTAGTCAAATTTCTCTGGAATTCTGGTTTGTGGAAGAAGGACTGGAGCACTATAGAAGTATCCATGTCCTGTTTGTGGGAGAAAGACTGGAGCACTGTGGGAGTATCCATGTCCTGTTTGTGGGAGAAAGACTGGAGCACTGTGGGAGTATCCATGTCCTGTTTGTGGGAGAAAGACTGGAGCACTATGGGAGTATCCATGTCCTGTTTGTGGAAGGACCAGAACTATGGGAGTTTCCATGTGCAGTCAGAGTGTTCCTTTAACGGCCAGACATTTATAATCCTTTCCTGTGCCGCAGATTTTGTGTGCGCTGAGCAAAAATTTCCTTAAATGATCTGATGCGGTATATCTGGGCATTAACAGATAGTGGCACAACGCGATGAGTTAGTCCTTGAATGCCATCAGTCAGTCATTTGACAGTGGGGTTTGAATCTAGTAAGTAAGTGAACCAATCGTTTAATAGATGGTCCCTGAATCGAATCAGTCAGTCAAACAATCAGTCAGTCAACCAATCAGTCAGTCATCTAATTAGTCTGTCAACCAATCAGTCAGTCAACCAATCAGTTGGTAATCTAATTAGTCGGTCAAACAATCAGTTGGTCAACCAATCAGTCGGTCGACCAATCAGATGGTCAACAATCAGTCTGTCAATCAATCAGTCAGTCAACCAATCAGTCAGTCAACCAGTCTTTTCAGAGTGTGATGCAGATGTTCCTTAAATCAATCAGTCAGTCAATTATTCATTTCACAGTGATGAAGATAATCCCAGAATCAAATTAGTCAGTCAAGCTGAGTTAGTCCATAAATTAATCAGTCCATGAGTTAGTCAGTCCATATATCAGTTAGTCAATAAATTAATCAATCAGTCAGCCCATGAATTAGTTAATCAGTGAATTGGTCTGTCAGCCTGTGCATGAATTAGTCAGTCCGTGAATTAGTGAATGAATTAGTCAGTGAAGGAATCAATGTCAATCAGTAAAAAATCAGCTAGCCAAAAAAAAAAATTGTGTCACTCATTTAAACTAAATCATGCTATCACTCCATCTTACTTACATCAAGCAGGAAGCAGAAATTGCAACGCACAGCCACACGAGCAGACAAACCAAACAGTTCTCACACATAACCCATCATGTCCCAGCCACATGTGGCTAACACACTTTTGTTGTTTGGCATTTTCTAGCGATGTGCCGCCTGGCAAGGGAGTGTCACCGGTGCACTTCTGATGTCCGTCGTTGGTGGCAAGATGAGTGAAGGCATCAACTTCTCCGACGATTTGGGCAGGTAGTTGGTTCTCAAGTGTGACTTCCATCTAATCTTAGTGGCTTCTGCCCCAGCTAGTTATGTTGATTATTTTTAGTCCACTCATGTTTTATATGTCCTCTGTCCTATTCAGTGTTTAATTTTCTTTATTCCACCCATGTTTTACATTTTTTTCTCTCCTAGTCACATTTTACATTTTCTTTGTCCCGCTCGTGTTTTACAATTTCTTTGTCACACTCATGTCTAACATTTAGTCAGCCTCACTCATTTTTTCCTTTTTCTCTGTATCCCACACGTTTTTCATCCATACTCAGTCCGATTCATATTTCATATTTACTTTCTGTTACTCATGTTTAACAATTACTTTTGTTTCACTCGTCTTTTACATTTGCTCAGCCCCGCTCTTTTTTTTTTTTTTTTTTACATTTAATCAATCCAGCTCATGTTATATATTTACTCTGTCGGCTCATGTTTTACTCTTATTCTATCCCAATTATTTTTTAATTCACTTTGTCTGACTCATGTTTTACATTCACTCTGTCCAACTCCTGTTTTACATTTTACTTTCTCTTAATTGTATTTTACATTTTCTCTATCCCACTCATATTTTGAATCTTCCAAGTCCCACCTTGTTTTACATTTTCTCTGTCCTACTAATATTTTTCCTTATCTGTCTCTTATTTATGATGTTTTACATTAATTCTCTGCCATTCTGTTTTACACTTTCTCTACCTCACTCATATTTTCCATTTACTCTGTCCCACTTACGTTTTATATTAATTCTGTGCCATTCATGTTCTCCTCCTCACTCATATTTTCCATTTACTCTGTCCCACTTACATTTTATGTTAATTCTGTAACATTCAAGTTCTCTATCTCACTCATATTTTCCATTTACTCTGTCCCACTTACTTTTTATGTTAATTCTGTAACATTCAAGTTCTCTATCTCACTCATATTTTCCATTTACTCTGTCCCACTTACTTTTTATGTTAATTCTGTAACATTCAAGTTCTCTATCTCACTCATATTTTCCATTTACTCTGTCCCACTTACTTTTTATGTTAATTCTGTGCCATTCATGTTCTCCTCCTCACTCATATTTTCCATTTACTCTGTCCCACTTACTTTTTATGTTAATTCTATAACATTCAAGTTCTCTACCTCAATCATATTTTCCATTTACTCTGTCCCACTTACTTTTTATGTTAATTCTATAACATTCAAGTTCTCTATCTCACTCATATTTTCCATTTACTCTGTCCCACTTACTTTTTATGTTAATTCTATAACATTCAAGTTCTCTATCTCACTCATATTTTCCATTTACTCTGTCCCACTTACTTTTTATGTTAATTCTATAACATTCAAGTTCTCTATCTCACTCATATTTTCCATTTACTCTGTCCCACTTACTTTTAATATTAATTCTGTGCCATTTATGTTCTCCTCACTCATATTTTCCATTTACTCTGTCCCATTCATGTTTTACATTAATTCCTTGCATGCTGTGGTGGTGTATTGGTTACTGCACTTGCCTGCTGAGACAGTGGCTCCCCTTCAGCTTCTATCAGTGGCAGGATTTCTTTCAAACTGTTGGCACCTTTCCAGATGAAAGTGTTATTTTGTGCCATGGGGAGGCATGGAAATTAGTGGCATGGCAAGTAGAGACCATGTAAGTGGGACTTTATTCCTTTATTCCCTTCCTAATTTTCCCCTCCATGAAACACAGTCCTTGACATTTAATTGCCACAAATCTACCTTAATACCTGTATCATTCATGTCCGTCTTGCACAATCCTGCTTTCTTAAACCTGTATAGCTCCTGATTCAATCCCCCCCCCCCCCCCCCCCCCCCCCCCCTCAAGTTGACCATGTTCAACCCCGCTGAAGACAGTTTTGTTTTATAATTGTGGTCTGGTTTTATTTGCATCTCCTACAGCTAATGTGGAACCCTGGTCTGTCAGGATTGTTGAACTATATCACAGTCCCTAAACCACTGATGACAGTTAACCCTTTAATAAACACATTTAACTAAATCACTACGCCACCCTAATTAAAAGATGAAATCAATGTGAAATTAATTCCAAAGCCCAATAAGAATAAACCAACACGGAACTGGTATCGTCAGCTGCTGAGCATTGAGGCGTATACTAAGAATGGGATCCATAAACTTATGGGCAGTGTAATTCGATGTGCAGTGAGGATGATTGGCTGACTGACCCTCTGCAGCCTCCAGCATAACCACAGCATGATGGTGCTGATCTATAAGGTTCTTATGGTTAACATATTTTGCTGTTTGATATCTCACTTTTTGTGTGTGAAATACAAACATTCAGGTTCATTATTTCAGGTGTGTTGTCATGGTAGGCTTACCATACCCTAACATCAACTCTCCAGAACTGAAGGAAAAAATGAACTACCTTAACAGTCACTTTGTAAGTATCACCATGCAAGAATTTTATCTGAACTTTTTACTGTAACTGACATCATCATCATGATCCCTTCCAGATGGTTTAAGCGTGAATATTTTTCAACAAATCTTAGTTTATAATATTTTGAATTAGTCAGGGCAGTCTTGGAGGAGTAAATAGATAGTGACACTCTGAAGAGACTGGAGCAGCGGGCAGTCACCAGGGGACTAGCTGACACTTAGCTGAAAGGTGAGATGGACATAATCGGTCTGTGTCTGCTACCACAGAATTAAAACTCTGTGCAGGCTGGTGAAGATGGGAATGCTCGGTTAAATCCATTCTCTTGTTGATCTTCCTCCATGTCACCATCTTAGATCATCGAGTATTATTTCTCTCAGCCTGCTTCTGCTTTTTTCTACCATTGATCTTTCCATTCGTCACAGTATTTTTGAATGTATCTTTTGTCATTACATCACTTAAGAAACTATCTCTTTCCTTTTTATATTTAAGTATATTGTTTTAGCTTCACTCATCTTTTCTGTCCTTTAATTTCTTCTACTCTATGCAGGCACCAGCTAATGTATGTACTCTGTGCTCAGATATTTTAAATATTTTGCCCAGGCCATAGAAGCATTTAGGAATGAGCAGGCAGATAGTTTGCCTGGATTGGCACCACTAAGGGTGTATTGCAACTGCACAAGGTAAAGGTGTTCACTTGCCTGTGGAACGAAGCAACAAGTAAAATGAATGATACTGAAAACCCATACCTGTAGCAGGGAGTGACTGTGGGCTCTGGACTCCACTGCAGACTCAGAGAAAAAGGCAAGACATGTAGCTAACTGGATGACATTGATTACCATGAGTATGCAGTCTCTTGACTAGCTGTTGAGTAGAGAGACGGAGCTTATAATGTTGAATATTTACTCAGGTATAGTTTATTTAGGTGAGAAAGCTGAACAGTTTTCACATGTAATGCCTTAGCATTGACAGAAGTAGTTTCAATAGAAAGAAAGAAGCAGGATTTAAACATAGCATTAGAACATACATATATTAAACAGGCATCTGAGTTTATATATATTGGAACAGCATTTACTGAGGATGGTAAATTGGATGAAGAAATTGACATCTGATGCAGTAAAGCAGGCCAGGTTTTGGACAGCTAGGCCCCCCAACAGCATAAGGCAATCCCAATCAGCACAAAAAGACATCTCATACAAAGCATATTCATTCCCACACTATGCTACATGCCAGACATGGGTCACTCACAACAAAACATAAAAGAAAATTAGTAACTATGGAAATGAGGTGTCTAAGAAAGAGAATAGGAGTGACCAGAAGAGATAAAATCAGGAATGAGGTCATCCAAGAAAAAGTCGCCACAGAGTCAATTCGAAATTACATGCGAAGACAGCAAATCAAATGGTTTGCCCACTTGAAGAGAATGCCTTCTGATGCTATACCATGCGAGGCACATACCAAAACAGGAGAGGGACGTAGAGCAAAAGGTAGACCAAGAACAAGATAGGAAGATAAAATCAGAGAAACTACAGCACCACAATATGTCTATGGTCGAAGCAGTCAGAAGAGCACGAAGCAGGACCTTATATCTCCCTGGACAACCAAAGCAGTAAAAGAGGACGTAAAAAAGAAGAAGAAGAAGAATGCCTAAGCAAAATACTTAGCACTAATAAGGCAAGATCACAAACATTGGGGTATTAGAAAGAGAACATATGACAACAGTTTTTTGAGGCTCAGTTTCCAAAGGCTGAGGTGGCTGGATCATGTATAGAGAATGGTAGAGTCGCTAAGGACATCCTTTATGGAGAATTACAGTTGGGTAGAGAATGTCAAGGCTGGCCTCTTTTACAGTATAAAGATGTGTCCAGGTGGGGTATGAATGATGCAGGTATTGAGGGAGATTTGTGTTGAGTGAAGTGGGGCCGGAAGGGAATAAACTTGAAGAACAAAAATGGTTAAGAGCTGAGTGTCTGAGAAGAAGCTCATTAAATACATGGGATGGCAACAGTGGTCCTGAAATCTTATTCTGTCATTGCAGAAGACTTTTCTTAACATAGGTGGGTCATGCTAGTAACGCCCGCCAAGTGCTATGGTTCTGATGTCTCCCCTTACCTCAGTGTAGCAGTGTCTGGAAACAGGGTAAGGTCCCCAACAATAAACATAGTGTGTTGTTTGAGGCAGAAGAGTTAACGCATTGTAACATTTTATGTTCTAGCCTCCAGGCCAAGATGGCAAACAAGCTGGCCAGGTACACTATGAAAACTTGTGTATGAAAGCAGTCAACCAGTCTATAGGTGAGTAAATCGATTACATCTTCTCCTCGACTTATAACCTATGCAACTTATGACCTATGCAACTTATAACCTATGCGACTCACAACCATCTGCACTTATGACCTGTGCTACTCACAACCATCCGCACTTATGACCACACACAAAAAATAATTAGTAATGTTTGTTCTCTCTTTATAATTGGTTCATGGTGTTGCTCAGACTATTTCTCTGTTGTTTACATTGTTAGTTTGTCTCAAGCATCCCATCTGCCATGTTGTCATTCGTCTTCCTTGCACCTTGAAAAGTGGCTAGGTCTGACATTGGTAACAGTTGAAGTAAATATATTGTTGATCTGTTGTCTTGGAATTTTCATGTTGACTTAGAACAGTGGCTCTCAACCTTCCTAATGTGGTGACCCTTCAGTACAGTTCCTCATGTTGTGGTGACCCTTCAGTACAGTTCCTCATGTTGTGGTGACCCTTCAGTACAGTTCCTCATGTTGTGGTGACCCTTCAGTACAGTTCCTCCTGTTGTGGTGACCCCCATCCATACAATTTTTTTTGCTACTACTTCATAACATCAGTGAATATGTGTTTTCTGATCGTCTTTGGCGACCCCTGTGAAAGGGTTGTTCTACCCACAAAAGGGTCGCGACCCACAGGTTGAGAACCGCTGACTTAAATGTTTGAGTAGAAAGTTGATAAATCACTGTATTAGTCCTCTGGCATCTGATTTCTATCTGTTTTTCAAATTCTTCTTTAAAATATTCAAGTTACATTCTACTCTGGGTGTCACTCGAGACTCGGAATGCAAGATGAATAGTTAACCAGATGACAAACAGTACTGTCAGTATGGGGACTCTTCTTGCTAGCTGTTAAGAAGCAAGATGGAGCTAAAAGGGGCTTGTCTTGAATGCTGTGATGTTGAATCTTTACCCAGATTCTGTAAAACCTGGCCAGCTTTGTAATGCAACCTTTTTTTTAACATCTACAGGGAGAGCTATTCGCCACAGAAATGATTACGCGTCCATTCTCTTGCTAGATCAGCGCTACTTGAGGTCAAGTGTCACTTCCATGCTGCCACAGTGGATCAGCCAACACCTGCAGTCTGCGGAAAACTTTGTCTCCGTAATGAAAGCTTTACCAAAGGTTAGTTGAGAGACTGATTATTTCTCTCTGTCATGATTTACCAAAACTGTATTCTAGTTGTGAAAGCTTTACCAGAGGCTAGTTAAGAGACTAATTATTTCTCTGTATCATGATTTATCAAAACTTTACGCCAGTTGTGAAAACTTTATCAAAGGTTAGATGAGAGACTGATTGTTTCTCTATATCGTGATTTACGAAAACTTTAGGCCAGTTGTGAAAGCTTTACCAAAGGTTAGATAAGAGACTGATTATTTCTCTATATCGTGATTTATCAAAACTTTAGGCCAGTTGTGAAAGCTTTATCAAAGGTTCCATAAGAGACTGATTATTTCTCTATATTGTGATTTATCAAAACTTTATGCCAGTTGTGAAAGCTTTACCAAATGTTAGATAAGAGACTGATTATTTCTCTATATAGTAAATTATCAAAACTTTATGCCAGTTGTGAAAGCTTTACCAAAGGTTAGATAAGAGACTGTGATTGTTTCTCTGTATTGTGATTTATCAAAACTTTATGCCAGTTGTGAAAGCGCTATCAAAGGTTCCATAAGAGACTGATTATTTCTATATATCGTGATTTATCAAAACTTTATGCCAGTTGTGAAAGCTTTACCAAAGGTTAGATAAGAGACTGTGATTGTTTCTCTGTATTGTGATTTATCAAAACTTTAGGCCAGTTGTGAAAGCTTTACCAAAGGTTAGACGAGAGACTGAGATTGTATATCTGCATGATGTTTTACAAAAACTTTGCCTTGTTGTTGAAAGCTTTACCAAAGGGTAGTTGAGAATCACACGTGTGTGTGTAGTAGGAATATTTGGTTGAGTACTTAGTGCTGTTTTTATTGCTGTGTTTGTTTTATTTGGTCACCTACACTGTCTAAATATGTTTGTTTTATTTCAGTTTTTCAACAGTCATAAAACAAAGCCCTGATTGGCTTGACAATCAAAACGGTTGCCTCAGAAGTTATTACATGAAGAAAAAGACATTCATTCTTTGAGGAGAATACGTGCTTGACTAAATCATCATTATCATCCTGCTGTGTCATTTACACCTGTTATATATATATAATGAACAAACAGTATATTGATCGGCACTCATAGAAAGAATTAGAAACATTGAAGGACACCAGACAATATAAAAATAAAAATTTTTGAATTTTATATTGTCTGCTGTCTTTCTATCTTTCTTCTTCTTTCTATGAGTGCCAATCAATACACTGTCTGTTTATTATATAAATATATATATATATATATTTAACATTTCTACGACCTCAAGGGTTCCTTCTCTATTTATGTCATTTAGAGCTGCATATGAGATATAGTGTAACGGATTCCCTAGGCTGGTTCTAGGGGCTCATTGGGGGTACACAGAACAAATAAACCCACTGCTCCTGTAAAGGCATGTTGTAAAAGTCAAATAATTTTTTTTTGTTGGGGGGGGGGGGGGGGGCATTTAAAGGAGTGCCTCTGACTTAGAGGCGGAGAACCAACAGGCTGCATACAAATATGTTAAATGGAATGGCACGCAAAACTCAAGTTCTTGAACAAGACTGAAGTGCAGAAGTGGATGAACAACCAGAGCTTTCCCCTGGAGTTTACAGCCGTTGAAGGTTAGGAAAAAGAAAAAGAGCAGTTGAGGGTTTGCTCAAAGCAGATATCACATCCTAGCTGTAAACTACAATCACAGTGTAAGAGCTAAGATACAAGGTATCAAAAAGTAACATTTCATGTAAGAGTAATCCCATAGCGGATACTATGGGAGGTGGGGTGGTCATTTCTGTTCCTCATCACCTTTCCTTATCAGAACATCCTGGAAATGATCTCTCAGGACTGAAAAAAACCAATGTCATAGCACTCCGATGCCCCCATAAGTGATCTGTCCTCATCTTCAGCAGCAAGCAAAGAGTTGATGGTACATAACTCCCCGCACAGCCATTCTTTTCTGTGTGCCTCTGCACTGTTTACTCACTCCTTAAAGGTCCTCACACCATCTAGCTTGTCATGCATCATTTGACTGCCAAGTAGATCAGAACCAGCCAGTATATCTGCCTGTTCATTTCCCAACTCACTGATATAACCTGGAAAAAGTATTCAAAGAATGCTAACTACCCAGGACCTCTAAAGCAGTGCTTGCCACTCTGCGTGGAGTATACCTGTTTCCACCTTTCTCAACATTGTGTGTTAGTTACAATCACAACATTTGTGCAGTCATTTATGAAGCCAGTGGAAGACTGCAGTGACTGCCTCCACCTCCCTTCTCAAACTAGATGCTGCTGTATTAAATGCCAGGAGACATAGTCATGTTAAATGTCATAGGTCCAGTTGAGTGGAAATTATCTGGCACCCATTTTTATGGGGTTGGGTTAACCTCGGTAAAGAAGATATGCTAGTCAACTCCTGCTGAGTATGTTAAGCTTGGAAACACGGTAATCGCTGCTGAATTGGAGAATCGAACACGAATGAATTATTTGAATGTAGTGTTTGATAGTATTTTGTCTGTTTATTGTTTGAAAACAATAAAATTGTGATTTATAAAATCCTTTTTATTTTTTTTTATTTACATGGGTTTTACAGTTTATATTAAGAGACAGCATAAGATGTCAGCACCTTTAAGGCTTGAAAAACCTTTACATCCTAACTCTGCAGGAAAGTACCAGCTTTGTTAAAGGTTCTTGGTATATCATACAGAGACCACATCACAAAAGACTAAGTTCTCCGTATTATGAGTCAGTACATTGGCAACTATAAACATCTTTTAACAGCAATGGAAAGACAGAAAATTCAGTGGTACCTACAAGTAACAAGATCTACCGTCCTTACCAAAAGTGATACTACAGGTTTGGCATAGGAGAAGAGGCAGAATAAGAAGGACCAGGATACAGAATTTGATTGAATGGATATCAAGATTGTTGCATCTGACTGACAGGTGGAGGGAACTAAGTCAACAGCAACTGTTAAACGAATGACACATGGTGTTATGGGACTTGTTCTTCTTTAATCTTTCTGTCACAAAATTTTATGTCAGGAGACCATTAGCCTTGATGGAAGCTATCATGCATTCCAGAGCTCCGTCTGTGCCAGACAGCTTTGTCGTCGTTAAGGTTGGAACAGGTCAGATGGCCTAGCAGCATACAATCTACAGTGTTCGAGTAGTACATGAATGTTCAGGTGCCAAGCTGCAGGGACACATCTCTGTGTTTCCGATACCCAAAAACTAGCAGTCTTTTGTGCCCTGTCATTGGTCTGAATTTAATACACTGACTCTCTCTTGAGAGGCAGTGAAGCGAGTCCTGGGGTGAATTTTAGTGTCAATATCCAACCATCTTTCTTGGATATCTTATTAATATTTCTTAGTCTCCTGGCTGGTTGAATCATCACTGTACCAAGTCACTGACGCTTCTGGCCAGTCAGTCCTCTATTACGTTGCCTTGAAAGCCACAGTGACCTGGAATCCACTGCAGGAGAGATTATTCTTCAGAAGATCCTATGTTAATGAGCATCAAGTAAAAACTTTGTGTTCTTTGGGATAACAATTGTCTGTAGAACCGACTCAGCATCAGTCAGAAAGACCACTGCTGTGTATACCGAGCTATATAGTCTGTTCAAGAAGGAAGGTACCACCAGACGTGCATCTGCCTCTGCTCTGGAGTTGGAAGAATATGAACCTCCTGGTGTAGACTCCTCAGTTTATAAACCATTTGGGCATTCTATATTTATATATATTTCTCATCCTCTGTCCCTGCCCTCTTAGCTGAACCATCAGTGCAAACTGTAATCCTGCTCTGGTGTGGATGCAATCTGTTAATCTCTCCTACTGTAATGAATGTCAGAGCAAAGCTGCCTGGCCATAGCAGATTTGGAAGAGATCCCTGTGATACTGGTTCTGGCTGTTAGCAAGTTATAGCTGAGTCAGAGATCCCTGTGGGCAGGTTATCCCTGAGTCAGAGATCCCTGTGGGCAAGTTATCCCTGAGTCAGAGATCCCTGTGGGCAAGTTATCCCTGAGTCAGAGATCACTGTGATACTGGTTCTGACTGTTGGCAAGTTATCGCCGATGGGGAGAGGGGGAGTGGAGAGGTTGGTGCCTTTGTAGTTTCCGGCTAATTTCCGTTTATGTTGTATTCTCTTTAGTCTTTTGTTTTGCTTCTTTTCTTGCTGCTTTTCCCCCTTCTTTCCATGGCTCTTTCAGTAATTGATTACAGTCTTACCCCGTGTTGGTTTCGGCAAGATTTGATCCACAGCCTATCTAACAAGCATGTCGTAAGAATCCACTAACTGGAGGTTTCTTTTGAAGTCGGAGTACATCTGCCTGAGAGGTGGGGAAACCACAGTCAACATACAAGTAAGCCACATCTGTAAATGAGATGTGAACGCAACATTCAATATTGAAAAGTACGAATTGTCTTGGAATGTGCACGAAATACCCCAGTTAGGTAAATGCTTGGGATGATATCAGTAAAGTCTAGACTGTCAGTGGCACAAGCCGGGGTCTACGTAAGAGTTACCGGCACTCTTCCGATTAACGGTCCCTTATTATTTACTGTCCAAAACATTCCCATTCTACGTAAGACATTCCAAAACACTCTTCCGATTAACGGTCCCTTATTGTTCAAAGACAAAAAATCCCATTCAGAGCCTCAAGAGGTCGTAGTTAGGGACTTGAGAGGTCATGTAGTTAAAAATATGGAACAGTTTGCCCGCCGGAGAATCGAACAATGATTAAAGACATGTGATGCATGCCAATCTTAATGATTTTAGAACTGACATCACAGCACTAGTGGCATTCCCATAAGCGCTTCGTCTCCATCTCCAGTAGCCAACGCTGTGTTCCAGTGCCAGTAGTAGTCTGATTATGTGTCCGTCTTGCCTTTCCTCTGAGCGTCAAGTTTTAGCCAAGTCCCTTCGTCACTCCCCGCTGCATCACTGTCACCAGACTGTGAAGATCCATTTTTTTTTTAAAGAGGAGATGGTTAAATTGGGACAAGTCATGGATTACACTATAATCTTCTTCTGCGTTCACCAGTTTGATGACGATGCCTTCGGGGTGACAGTCTCAGTCAAGCAAATAAATGCACGGGGGAGTCGGGGTGGGTTGACAGGAACACACAGGCAACAGCAGTTTTATCGGGGTGGGTTGACAGGCACACACAAAACAAAAGTTTTATCGGGGTGGGTAGTAGGAAAACATACAACAGTTTTATTGGGGTGGGTTGACTGGAAAACATACAACAGTTTTATTAGGGTGAGTTGACAGGAACACAAACAACAAGTTTTTTGGGTTGGGTTGACAGGAACACATAAACAACAGTTTTATCGATGTGGGTTGATAAGAACACACAACACACAACAGTTTTACCGCGATTGGTTGACAGGAACACACACAACAGCATTGGGGGGGGGGGGGTGACAGGAACACACACGACACGTTTTTAGGTGGGTTGACAGGAACACATAGAACAACAGTGTTACCGCGATTGGTTGACAGGAACACATACATACAACAAGTTTTACCGCAATCGGTTGACAGGAACAAATACTACAACAGTTTTATCGGGGTGTGTTGGTAGGAACACATACAACAAAAGTTTTATCAAGATGGGTTGACAGGAACATACACAGCAACAGTTTAATCGGGATGGGCTGACAGAAACATACACAACAGTTTAAGTGGGGTGGGTTGACAGAGATATACACATACAGTCAACATAATTTTCACTTGGATGAGTAGACAGGAACACACACACACAACAGCAATTTTTTTTTAATCAAGCCAGATTTGCGTCAGGAAGAGATTGTGGAGAACGGTGTAATGCATGACATAGTTAGAGGTACAACAACTGATAGATGAAAATAATATGAAATGTATTTTTTTTTTTTTTCAAATACTTGAAAAGAGAAAAAAAAAAGAAATCAGTGGCCGTCCTAGGAGAAC